GCATGATTTCTGTGCGATTGCTCGAATTCTATACTGATACGATTTCTGTTGTGAGTTTCTGATGATTTTGATTGGTGATTGATGTCTTGCTGAGCTGTTAGCTCATCCTTGTTTTCTACGTGGTTTTCAGGTTCTGGGAAAGGGAAGGAAGTCGTTGATTAGCGGTCCAGAGTCTGATCTGTGATTAGGTATTTTGTACTTTTGATTTTTGTACAGTCATGGCTTTTCTGTTCTGTTCTTTCTGTCCGTAAGCCATGTACTGTATATGTATATGATTATTTTGGTGAAAAAAAAGATAGATGAAATGCGCTGCATTTGGATATTTTTAGTAGCTCTGTATTTTTCTGTCTGTGTTATGTTTGGAAGAAAGTTTTGAAGCAAATTCTAAAGCCAAATTCTGGATTTGTTGATTCCGTCGCGGCCCGATGCGAGCGGGATCCGTCCCGATCAGGTTGGGTCGTGACAAGCCTTTAGTGGTATCAGAGCAATGATTTTGGAATTTGGATTGTAAGACAGAGCTATAGGAAGTAATATGTGAGTTTGTTTGGGATAGTTTTGGGTTTGTCTGGATTTTTATTCTGTTGTTTTATGTTTAGTTTTCTGTGTGATCATGGATCTGCCAGATCCTGATATGATAGATGGGCAGAGTGCTAGTCAGGCAGCTCCGGTGAGTAGTACAGCCCCAGTGGTTGGTTCTGATAAACTTTCTCAGTTTGCTACATTGATTGCTCAGATGATGAGCGAGACTCATAGTAAAGCCTCTACTATCCGATCTAAAGAGATAGATAAACATCTGCAGTTGTTTCTGAGATTGAAACCTCTGAGATTTGAAAGCACTGTTGAGCCCAGAACAGCTGAAGATTGGTTAAGGAGGTTGGAAAAGACTTTTTACGGTATGCAGTATCCGTCGGACAGGAAGGTTCCATTGACAGTTTTTCTGTTGGATGAGAAAGCAGAGCGCTGGTGGATAGGCCAGTAGGAGGTGAAATTCCAAGGGAAGTTAAATTCGTTAATTACATGGGAAGAATTTTCTGAGGAATTCCGATCGTGGTTTGTACCTCCTTCTGCACGATAGCATATGCAGGAGATTTTTCTGAGACTTGTTCAGGGGAGCAGGATTGTGATGCAGTATGAGGAAGAATTTACTGCTTTAGCCCGTTATTCTCCACAGTTGGTAAGTACTTCTGCTTAGAAGTGCTACAGATTTCTGAGAGGACTACGAGATAGTCTGAGACAGCCCCTAGTGCCATTTCACATTTCTGATTTCTCTGAGCTGGTGGAGAGAGCTCGTTTGATAGAGAATGATCTGATGGCTACTTAGCAGCGGTGGACTGCGAGTAGGAAGAGATTCGAGGGTGAGGCTTCTAAAAGTGGTTCCTCTAGCAAGAGGAGATTTATTTCTCGAGACTCCAGGAGGAGTGGACAGTCGGAATCCACTACAGTTTCTGGTAGAGGAAGTACGACCAGTTCTGGATCTGTCAGTGGGGCACCTATGTGTCAAAGTTGTGGACGACGGCATTTTGGCCAGTGCTACAGGATGACTGGTCAGTGTTTAAGATGTGGTCAGCTATAACATCGGATTGCAGAGTGTTCACAGGCTGGATTTGATAGACGATCTGAGTTCCGATCTGATACTAGACCTGTTGGTTCAGCAGGACGACCGAGGACTGTTCCTCTACGTACTGTGACTGAAGGATTCTCTGGTGGTATAGGTGGTAGTTCGAGTTATGTGGCACGGAGACCACATACTGGTAGTCAGCGGGAGTCTAGTGGTTCAGTAGCTCCAGCTCCAGTTCAGCCACGAGTATATAGTTTGAGTCAGCAGAAGGCTCGAGATGCTCCGGATGTTGTGACATGTACAATTTATATTTCTGATCAACTCTGTCGTGTTTTGTTTGATTATGGAGCCAGTCATTCGTTTTTTGTCCGAGCGTTGTTTTGATGCTTTGCATCTGAATTCTATTTTGCTACCGGTTTCTCTTTCTATTATTTTGCCGGCTGGAAGCAATTTGATTGCCCGAAAGTTTTATTTTTGTGAGATTGATATTTCTGGCAAGAAATGAAAATCGAGTTTGATTTTGTTATTGATTTCTTCTTACAATGTGATTTTGGGCATGGATTGGCTGAATCTGTACAAGGCTCAGATTGACTGTTTGAAGAAGCAAGTGAACTTGCTTATGGATGGAGAAAGATGTGTATTTCAAGGATTACAAGGTGTTCTATCCTGTCTGATTTCTGTATTAGAAGTTAGAAGAATGTGTAAGAAGGGTTGCCCGGTAGTTTTGGCTTCTGTACGGGATCTGAACCTAGAACCCACTTCTATTTCTGATATACCGGTTGTACGGGAGTTTTCTGATGTCTTTCCTGAAGAGTTGGTTGGTTTACCTCCGGATAGAGATGTTGAGTTCTCTTTTGATATTTTTCCGAGTACAGCTCCGATATCGAAAGCTCCGTACATTATGACACCTAAGGAACTTTCTGAGTTGAAAGTTCAGCTTCAGGAATTGATGGATAGAGGATTTGTTCGTCATAGTGTTTCTCCTTGGGGAGCACCCGTATTATTTGTGAAGAAGAAGAACGGAACACTCCGTATGTGTGTGGATTATAGAGATTTGAATAAGGTTACGATCAAGAACAAATATCCGTTACCACGGATTGATGACTTGTTTGATCAGCTTTCTAGCTCTTATGTATTTTCAAAGATTGATTTGAGATCTGGATATTATCAGGTGAAGGTGAAGGAAGCTGATGTGTTGAAAACAGCTTTCAGTACTCGGTACGGGCACTACGAGTTTTTGGTTATGCCTTTTGAGGTAACCAATGCACCAGCTATTTTCATGGATTTGATGAACAGAGTCTTCAAAGAGTACCTAGATCAGTTTGTGATCGTCTTCATAGATGATATTTTGGTGTATTCTGCTTCTAAAGATGATCATGCCAAACACTTGAGCATTGTGCTGGAGACTTTGAGGTAGCATAAGCTATATGCTAAATTTTTCAAGTGTGAATTCTGACTGAAGAGCATTTCTTTTCTGGGGCATATGGTGAGTGGTGAAGATATTTCTATTGATCCCCAGAAGATTCAAGCTGTTGCTGATTGGCCAAGGCGTACTACGGTATTTGAGGTACGTAGTTTCTTAGGCATGGCTGGATATTATAGAAAATTTGTGAAGGGATTTTCTCAGATTTCTATGCCTCTGACGATACTGACTCAGAAGTCAGTAGCTTTTGTTTGGACATTGGAGTGTGAGGCTAGTTTTCAGAAGTTGAAGGATTGTTTGATTTCAGCTCTAGTGTTAGCACTTCTGTTAGGTACGGAAGGATTTCAAGTGTTCAGTGATGCTTCACTGAAAGGTTTGGGCCGTGTTCTGATGCAGCATGATAGAGTAATTGCTTATGCTTCGAGACAGTTGAAATCACATGAAAAAAATTACCCGACGCATGATTTGGAGTTGGCTGCAGTTGTGTTTGCTTTGAAGATTTGGCGTCACTACTTGTATGGCGTCAGATGTTAGATCTTTATAGACCACAAGAGTTTGAAGTACATATTTACTCAGAAGAATCTGAATTTGAGGCAAAGAAGGTGGCTTGAGTTGATCAAAGACTATGACCTGACGATTCAGTATCAGCCTGGTAAGGCTAATGTGGTAGCAGATGCTTTGAGCAGGAAGTCTTCTAGATTATCAGATATTCACCTTACTTCTGATGAGTATCTGATACGAGACATAGAAAGATTACAGTTAGAGGTGATTTCCTCTACTGGTCCGGATTCTGGTATTTTGACTCAGATGAACATCCAGTCTTTACTGAAAGACATGATTCAGGAAGCTCAGAAGTCGGATTCTGACTATTTGAAGTTGATTGCTCAGATTGAATCTGGTAAGAAGCCTGAACATCGAGTTTCTAATTCTGGTGTTATTTTCTGCAAGAATAGACTGTGGATTCCTGTGTTTGGAGATTTAAGGAAAAATATTATGTATGAATCTCACCATTCAGGCTATACGATACATCCGGGAATGGTAAGATGTACGAAGACATGAAGAGTTTGTTCTGGTGGCCTGGAATGAAAAAGGATGTAGTAGATTTTGTTTCGAAATGCGAAGTCTGCTAGTTAGTGAAGGCAGATCATCAGCGACCAAGAGGTCTTTTGCAGTCATTGCCTATTCCTGAGTGGAAATGGGAGGAGGTAACGATGGACTTTGCTATGGGTTTCCCTCGATCTAGGCAAGAACATGATGCCATCTGGGTGATTGTGGATCGATTGACGAAGTCTGCACACTTTCTTCCGATCAGGCAAACGAGATTGTCAGATTACATGGTGTGCCTAAAGTGATTGTATCTGATCGAGATGGACGGTTTACTTCCAGACTTTGAAAGAGTATTCAGCAAGGATTGGGTACGAAGTTACATTTCAATATGGCATTTCATCCGCAGACTGACGGACAGTCTGAGAGGACTATCCAAGTACTGGAAGATCTTCTGAGATTATGTGTTTTGAATTTTGGCGAAAGCTGAGAAGATCATATTCCTTTGATTGAATTTGCTTATAATAACAATTTTCAGTCTAATATTGGTATGACACCTTATGAAGCTTTGTATGGACGAAAGTGTAGAACTCATTTGACTCTGACTAAGGTATGAGATAGACAAGAAATGAGTGCTACATTTGTGGATGAAACTGTTATGAAAATCAACTTGATTAAAGAAATATTGAAAGCTGCACAAGATAGACAACAGAAGTATTACAATCAGAAGCACAGATTTGTGAAATTTCAAGTTGGTGACTTTGTGTATGTCAAAATCAATCCGATGAAAGGAGTCAGCAGATTTGGAAGAGTGAGTAAGCTCAATCCAAGGTATGTTGGACCTTTTGAAATCCTTGAAAGGATTGATAAATCTGCTTACATACTGTTACTATCTGATCAGATATCTGATGTGCACAATGTTTTTCACGTATCCTCTTTGAGAAAATGGATATCTGATTCTGACAAGAAGTTGTCTGCTGATGAGGTTGAGATTCAGGAGAATCTGCAGTACAAAGAAGAACCTGAAAAAATTTTGGCCTACGATGTTCGTAAGTTAAGAAGTAAACAGATTCCTATGGTTAAAGTTCAGTGGAAGCACCGAACAGCACGAGAAGCGACTTGGGAGGAGTCGGATATGAGGCAGTCGTATCCATATCTGTTTTGACTGAGTTTTGGTTTGGCAATGTAGAGAAAAACATTTTTCTGAAGTTGGGGAGATTGTAAAGATCATTTTTCTCCTAATATCGTCCGGGACAAAGTTGGATCGTCCCAGGACGATCGGTACAGGTTGTGCGGGAAATGTTTCTGGCTGCATGGTTTGTCTGGACGAAATTTGGATCGTCTGGATGAAAATTTTACAAAGCCAAGTCGTCCAGGGACGTTAATTAATCTCGTCTGGACGAAATTCGTCCAGAGCCGAATCGTCCCGGGACAAAGTTGCGACCGTCCGGGACGATCCGTCTGGATATATATAGAAATGAGATATTTTGAAGAGAGAGAAAAGCCCATGAGAGAGAAAATCGAAGGAAAAAGAAGAAAAAATGATTTTTGGGCGACTCCGGTCCATTTTCGTCCGTTGCTGTAGTTAAAGAAGTTGACCGACTCGAGATAAGGCACATTCCACCTTTCTTAATTTTCAGAAACGAGGATTTTGACGAGTTTTCTGTTTTGAATTTTGTTTCCGTTAGCAAATTTCGGGTATTATTTTCTTTTGACAAAAATTTTACCACGTAACTTTTGGTATATCTTTGAGATGATAAATATGCATATTTTGAGTATTTTCTGAAAGATTTTTACCGAATATTTTAAATTCTGCGGTGTTTTAAGTAACCTGAAAATTATCGGGATGTTGAAAAATATTTTGTCAGTACAATAAAAATTATAATGTTGTTATGAATGTTCTGTGGTTATTTGGTAAATTTCTGAATCTGTGAATTGTGTAAATTTCGTATACTGCCGTTATGCCGCTGAATTTTCGTACGATTTCTGAATCTTCTGAAATGAGATGATTGAATGAATTGATTATTTGTATGCTATCGAAAGGGAGTTATAAGGGGCCGGAATCCCATGTGATTCCGTTGTCTGGGTCAGGAAATTTTGAATTCTGAAACGAGCTATGAAATCTGAAAATAAGTTATGTTTCGGAACCTCTAATATCTGTTCTGTTCTGTTCTGGTGCTATAAGCACAACGGGAGACATAAATGGTCAGAATCCGTTGAGATTCTGTTTGTGTCAGGGATATCTAAAATCTGATGTTATCTGAAATCTATTGTTTGATAGTTGATAATCTGTTCTGTGACTTATCTGATATATTTTATGAATTATCTGGTTTGAATTATCTGATATGAATATGAATTTATCTGAACTCTGATTCGAAATGATTTCAGTTTTCTGTATCCGTAAGCTAATTTCTAATTGATTAAGTATATGTTCTGTCTATTGCATGATTTCTGTGCGATTGATCGAATTCCGTACTGATACGATTTCTATTGTAAGTTTCTGATGATTTTGATTGGTGATTGATGTCTTACTGAGCTGTCCTCTTGTTTTCTATGTGGTTTTCAGGTTCTAGGAAAGGAAAGGAAGTCGTTGATTAGCAGTCCAGAGTCTGATCTGTGATTAGGTATTTTGTACTTTTAATTTTTGTACAGTTATGACTTTTCTGTTATGTTCTTTCTGTCCGTAAGACATGTACTGTATCTGTGTATGATTATTTTGGTGAAAGAAAAGATAGATGAACTGCGCTGCATTTGGATATTTTTAGTAGCTCTGTATTTTTCTGTCTATGTTATGTTTGGAAGAAAATTTTGAAGCAAATTCCAAAGCCATATCCTGGATTTGTTGGCTCCGTCGCGGCCCGATGCGAGCGGGATCCGTCTCGGTCGGGTTGGATCGTGACAGAAAGTAAAGATGAAGACGGGTTGGCGGTCGTGTCGGGTTGACCTGGGTCTGAAACAAGTCGGGTTCGGGTCCGAGAAAGTGATTCGTTTTAAAGGACGGGTTAGTAATGCATGCTAATTTCATTTTAATTTTAATTTGAACTTTATTGTAATATGAATTATATATTTTTTTTTTCTACCATATGATGGAAGGAAACTAATGATCATGTACAGGTGGTGCTCTTGGACATGCTATTCCTTTGGTATACTAGTTTCTTTGGTGCCAAGACATTTGGGCTGATTTGGGTTTGAGTCAAGATCATTGGGTATTTAATTGGTGGGCTGATTTTAGCTTAATGGGCTTGGCCCATTATTTAGGAGTTGTTGATTGGTGTTGGGGAAAATAAGGATTTGGAGTTCATTGCTCTAGCCAGCAGCTAGTTGCTTGTTCGGGTCCGTGGTTCTGCCTGTTCATGTCCCAGGTTTTTTTGGTTGTGCCTTTTCAGTCCCTTGCTTTCCCGTGGTTGGCCTGTTTAGGTCCTTAGCTGCTGTTGTGGTTCCTGTAAGTATTTAAAGCTAGATGCTTTTGTCTTCTATGCTCCAACGTAATTTAAATGTTGTCTTTTTCTTCTCTTTTCTGGTTCGCTTGAGTGGGCGGCTGTTTGGCTCCCTTTCTTCACTTATAAATAAGGGCTGCTTTGTGACATTTGGTTGCTGATTTTTGATGAGTGATAAACACTAAAACTTGAGAGTTTTTTCCGAGCCATGTTCCCATTTCTCTTCTCCTCTACATAATTTCATCTCGGACTTCTAATCTATTTCTTATCTACGCAAGTGTCCACCCCATTTGTATCTTTCTTCTAAAGCTTTTAAAGGTGTTGGTTGGCCGGTTTGTTAGCTTTTGCCGGAGGAGTTTGTGGTGGACGTTGGCCCAAAGTTGCTGTGGTGAACCTCTAGTTTGCATGCTTTGAACACTAATCATTTTACCTACTATTTTCGATGCATGAGAGGTGACCACTAATTGGTTGTTCTGAGGATAGTTTTTACTATTTTTAATTTTCTTAGTGTTTAACTTCTGTTTGTTTTCAAGTTCGTTTGGTGCTGGCTTACTAAGTGTTGAATTGAGTCAGGTTCTACTTTCCTTAGTATTTTCCTTTGTTTGGTTTTTAGTCTTAGTTGCTTACATCAATTAGGTTCAGGTCGGGTCAACTAGTGTCGAGTCAGTTCCATATTAGACCTGTGACCCGATTTTGACAGCCCTAGATGTAATATGTCTTTAAGACAAGACTATTACATACCAAGAGACTCCAACAAGAACTCTAGGGCCTTTACTTTGTCCCATTTGATGATGCGGGTGAGTCTTTAGTACCAAAAGGAAAAAAGTAATAGATATCAAGTAAAACTCATGTTACAAAACAATATAAATTAAAGAATTTTAAGTACAAAAAGTAACCAAATGATCTAATTTATAAAACTCACCTTTCTTTCTAGAGTAAGCTTAAGCTTTGGGTACTCATGCAACAGTAACTTGTTCAGCTAAAGCACTCCATCAGAGTACAGAAAAAGCTTATATATAGTCCTTCCCACAGCCATCTAACTTCATTACTACTGCAAGAACTCCATCAAAACAAGATTGATAAATATGGCCAAGCCTCCATTCTTCCAAAATATTATTCTCACTAAATTTTTTGGTGGCCAACTCCAAAGATGAGTACTCGATCTTTGCAAAAAATGTTTTCTTGTTTATCATCTGTAATGAATTAAACTTGCTAAAAACTGGACCCAAGGGAAGTCCTTTAGTAGCATAATATAAACCAAATGTAATATACATGGAGCATACTGTTAAAAACAGTTTCTACAATTCAAGCTCAGACAATGTTAGATTTTCCATGGTTTTGGATGTCTTCGAAGCCTTAAACCAGGTGATTCTTTGGCCAGATGATCCAGAAGAAAATGATAGATAGAACTATGCA